ACAGAGAGCCTTAATATTCTTGCCTCTTTTTCCAATCATTGCCCCAGCATTCTTGCTCTGAAGCAGAATTCATTATTCAACCATCTCATCAGTGTTTCTAGATCTTTTAAATGCTTGCTCCTCTTCCATATCTTCTGCAGGGTGTTTACCAAATTCACCATTGGTTTCAGTGTTGGGGAAGGTTTCTTCAGGCTGCTCAGTTTCCATTTTCATGTATTAAATGGATACACCAATCACACAAGTCCACCTGCCTTCACCGCCGCGCCACCTGTACTGAGGTGACTTTATTGAAATAAGGTTATTTTCTAAAAGATTTATGTAAAAGAGAAAGCAGAATAGGAAAAAAGGTCCAAAGACGAAGGAGTAAAGGGAGGGGAAGGGGAAAGGAAAAGAGGGAAAGGAAAAACTATGAGAAAAAAAAAGGAAATGAAATCTATGTAAATAGGGAAGGGTGGAGGGGGTGAAGGGTGCACAGCTAATGGGGAACAAAATAGGAACCAAGATACATCATGTACAGGTACAAACACCCAATGATAAATGTAAACGAATTGTATACCTAAAGTGTACCAACAAAATGTACCAATAAAATCAATTTAAAAAAAAAAAGAGAGAAAGCAGAGGCTAAGGATGTTATTCTGAGGACAGTAATTTGAAGCCATAGTATGCCCAGAGAGACTGCTTCTTTCTTCTGTGGCAGCTCTGGTGACTTCCTGGTAGCTCTACCTGTGCCCCTCTGTTCAGGTCAGGGCCTAAGGATAGAAGAGCTCTGGATGATGAAGGTAGAAGAAAAGCCCCTATGTAGTAAAGGTGGTTCTTTTCCTGAAACTATCCATTTAACCTATTAGCACACATGAAAGATAGAAGACCTTCAACTCTAAAAGTAGTATCAGTGCAGTAAATGCTGTCTGTGTACTAATTTATATTTCCACCATCCTATGACTGAAAGATTATAATTTTGGATGCAGTATGTATGTGTTTATGTCTATCCAGACCTAAAACAGGTTTGGATAGAAGACCATTCAGTCAGTGTCTTGTGAAATTAAATCATGAAAAAATTTCTTTTGTTATAGCTTTCTCTTTTCTCTCTCTCTCTCTCTCTCTCTCTCTCTCTCTCTCTCTCTCTCTCTCTC